GATAGATAGATAGATAGATAGATAGATAGATAGATAGATAGATAGATAGATAGATAGATAGATAGATAGATAGTTAGTGAGTTATGGAAAAAATAAAACTTTATTTTTATTACCCTTGTAATTTATGTTTAAATCATTTCCTATATTAACACAATGAGACGAGGTCAATTTCATTGGACATATACAATTGAAATAGCTCTAACCAAGAGTTGCTCCATTGTTCGTATTAACAGCAGATCACAATAGACTGGATAAGAACATGTTTTTCTTATGTCTAGACGGGATTCAGTTCCCGCGGCGTCGTTCTCGAAACGGAACGCGCACACAGCACGCTCTCGAGAAACGTCAGGCTGACGTTTAAACCAATCAGCTCAATCTTCGATAACCTCGAGCTTCACAGCTAACCAATCGTCGTCGAGCATCAGTTACCCTGAGTGTGGACTCCAATCGTCTGCGTGAAGGGCGTGCACCACAAATCTTTTTCTTCACCGTCGTTTTGTATCCTACAGCGGAGCACCGTTTAGTCTGTCTGCTGCTGATGAATGAACTGAAAATAAGGACCCCAGAGCTACCGAGAGCACAGTAAGGTTCTATTTAATTGAACACCACTGACCGCCGCTGCTTGGACTGCTTCTCGGCTGTTTAGCGACAGAAAGCTAATGTGAGCTAATGTTAATGGTAGCTAGCTTCTGTGGATAAAGAAAGCGGTTAGGATTACTAAAAATGAGGAGCGATTGAGGGAGACAGGCGAGGACTTGAATGCGGTGTTGTGGCTTTTACTGACAAATTGGTTGTAATGGGGCTCAAAGCGTTTGCTCTTTGTTGATTCCTCCGCCGTATCATATCACATTATGCCTCGGGCCAGACACCGTTAAATGCCCCGGCCGGCGGTGCGGTAGCACGCTGCTGCCTCAATCCTCCGGCTAACAGCAGAAGCTAACCGAAGCTATGGTGACAACTGTCCAGGTTTGGACACGGCAAATCAATCAGTTAGTCTATGAATCAAAGCGTTTATTAAAGCAAACACGTTGCACCAGCTGGTGTAAATAGCTGAGATAAATAATGATCTCCATTCAGACAGTGCTCAGTTATGAGCAAACTACCATCCAAAGTAACGGGGGAAAGAAGCAGCTTCTGGTTCCTCTCACTGGATATTTTTTCTATTCTAGGTTCCTGTCGCTGGATATTTCTTCTATTCTAGGTTTATCCACTTGGATAAAAGTGTTTACTATTATATGATCTTATATTTAGGTGTACGCAGTGCTTCCAAAGGCACAAAAACCCCCAGAAATGCGTTATTTTGTGAGTCATTTAATTGCAGAAGATAATGTCCATGGTTATCTTTCTAATTAATAAGTGGAATTCTTTTTTTAACCTTTTTTTATGAGTTTGTTTTTAAATTTAACGAGTATTTTGTTTCTTGGTGTGCTAATTCAGTTTACTATAAAATGTCTGTTCTTAGTGTTTTCTGTCACTGATGGAGCCTTGACATTTTGTAGTTCTACCAAATCATATTTTTTTCCTGACCAGTTGTGCCCTTTTGACCTGCCTGTTCTCATTTTGACCATATCTTATGTTTTTTCCCCCCTTCATAAATATAACTCTTATAAAACAACTGTATGGTCTTTAACAGAGGAAGTAACACTGAATCCTAATTGGACTCAATTGATAATTTATTAGATCACTGTTCTCTAATCAGTTCAGAGCTTTCAGTGAGCTTTGAGTTAAAAAAAAAATCCCATAGCTAAAGTAAAATTGGAATATTTACTTTAATGGAAACCAGTTAAAAAGATATTCTAAAGAAGTGTGGTGAGCTTCCCCAGGTTTGGAGTTTACAAAGGGTGTTCATGTTAATCCTGAGCCTGCCAGTGTATTACCATGGACAGACTGTGAGTCATCCTCCAAACTATTACACCCTCTTCCTCCCAGACTCATTGATGAGGTAATCTCTGAACTGAATGGGCAAACCAACTGTAGTTTCAGCTGCAGATGTCTTAGTGATGAGCACCGTGCCATTAGCCATGCTCCGGAAAGAGTCATCCTTTTCCAGCACTAAGAGCCTCTACAAGAATGATCCTATTAAAGGCAATATGTTATTTTTAGATCCAAACATGGCTTTTAGTTATTATGTTTATTGAACCAGGAAACAATTGTCATAGTTACTATACAGGAAAGCTCAATATAGTGTATTTGTGCAACATCTGTTTGACCTTTTTAGCTAAATAAATTCCAAGCATGGACTGCTATGTGCATTTCACAATATGATTATCTGTTTATGCATAATATTTATTCAGCTACATTTACTAGGCTTGGTAGTTTAGAATTCTTGAAGTTAAGTTTCTGTATTTAAATGTTAAATGTTTAAATGTTAATGTTAGCTTTTTTTCATTAAAAGTATTTATACTCTAAAAATAGTATTTTTGTTGGCTTTTTTTATTTCCCTTCTTGCTTCAACAATTTCCCACCTAATAAAGGATATAAATACTCTTTTCTGCAATGAAAATAATACAATATAGTTGTATTTACTTCAAAACGAAACCCTAAACTTTTTAATTTGATATTTTAGCTGTCATTACTAATGGACGAGAGGGAACAGCTTTAACTAAAATATTGTATAGTGCTACACTTGAGTTGTATTTTAAAGTGTGTGTGTGTTTCTAACAAATTATATTTTGCTTATAGATTAATTTGGTCATGTTTTTCATTAATAATCGGATACAGAATTAAAGCATTGTATTATTGGAATC